AGAGACTAAGAGGAAGAGGAAACTGGAGAGTATATTAGTTACTACAAGCAATCACAAAACCTGACTCACAATGGCCAAAAGACAAGTCCAGAGGTGTGAGACTTCTCTCTCATTTTTCCCAGTGCTTACCTGTTTTGACTCTGGCCTCTGGAATTCCTATCGGTTCTATGAGTTACCATGTATTGTTTTAGTAATTTTTTATGCTTAAATTTGCTAAAGTCACTATAGTGAAAATGAAACAAATACAAGAAGAAATGGTAAGTCCACAGTGACAGTTAGAGGCTCCAGTATTCCTCTCCATAATTTATAGACCTAGACAGAAAAATCAGCACCGATAGGGAAGTCTCAATCCCACCAAACTGGAATTGCTGTCCCACAAAACCGTGGGTTACACATTGTTTTCAAGTGGGAACATTTGCCAAGATAGACTCCCTTCTAGGTCATAAAGGAAACCTGAAAAAATTTGAAAGACTTCAGTTCAGACAAAGTGTTCTCTGACCACATTGGAATTAAGGAAGAAATCTATAAGAGAAAGATATTTAGAAAAGCCCCAAATATTTGGAAGCTAAATAACATGTCTAAGTAATCCATAGTTCATGGAGGAAATTAAAAGGAGGTTGGAAGATTTAATGGAAACACAACATGCTGAATAGGATGTTTATAAAAAGAAGTATGGTTCTACTTAGGTGAGCGCCTCTGAGTGTGAATGGGGCAGTCACAGCCATAGAGACAGAAAGGATGGGGAGCACCAGGACTGGGGCAGGGAGAGTGGGCAGGAGCTGCTTGGTGGCCACAGAGCCCCAGTTTTGCAAGATGCAAAGAGCGCAAGAGAGGGCCGGCAGTAGCGCGCGCTCAGCAATGTGGATGTACCACTGAGTTGTACCCTGGATGACTGAGACAGTAAGTTTTGTGTTATGTGTATTTTGCAATACTTTTTAAAATTCAAGGAGAGGAAAAAGAGACCTTGGTGATAGACATGTGCTAGACGTGGTTTCTATATTTTGTACGGTAGCCCAAATGAGTGGAGGTAAAGGTCATGGGTGGGGAGCAAGCCGAGGAGCAGAGAGGCCCGGCTTTGAGGTGGGTCGGCCACCAAAATGCAGACTACTCAGGACAGCGGTGGTGTATGAGGAGTGACAGTGGGGTGATGAGAGGCCGTGTGCCAACACCTTCGCCAAGTGAGGGGGACTAGCAAAAGGCTCAACATGTGACAGTGGTCAGCTAGCACTAAGATTTGCATTCCAAATGGCACAAGCTTCCTTGCAACCGCTCAGATGAGGACAAGTTTGCTAGTTGCCTCTTTGAGACAGGTTTGGCTCAGACCCACTGCGCCCGTGGAGTCTGCAGATAGGAAACTTGGGCCACCCGCTGGGCTGTCTTGATGCCTTTTATCTCTGACCTAGGAGTCTTGGGCCTTTTTTTTTTTTTTTTTTTTGCCAGTGTCTGTGAAACCGAGGCAAGCTAACTTGCTGGCATACAAGCAGGTAAGTCCTTCACAGTTCTAGGCAGTAGTTTCTGGGCTGTGTGTTAAGGGCTGAGCAAGTTCTACAGTGGACAGCAGAGGAAGAGCCCCGAAGATGTGGTGAGCAGCTCCTATGGGACCGAAGTAGACCGTGGAAGGCTGCTGTAAGAGTTTATGCTGCTTGCATGCTGCACACCAGAGAGGGAGCCCAGGGGAATGTGCTGGGTTGGAGAAAATGACATCAGCTTTGGACAACTCAGGAGGAAATGTCCTGAGGGAAGATCCTCCTGGCACTGGGGAGGCAGGTCCCGGCTAGAGATGATTTTAAAAAACAAAACATAAATGGTAGTGTAAGCCTTAGGTGAATCCATAACGGTGAAGGAATGGAGTGGAAAATAATTTGTTTCATATCCTGCAGCCTATGGAGGATAAGCAGGTAACATTCGCAAGTGAGTGCTTATGGGTAAAATTCCTCCCAAATAGCTCAGCAGATTAAAGTGCCTGCAAGCAGGTATGGGGCCAGGGGTTCGATCCCTGGGCCTGCCGAGCCCGCCCCACCCCCCGGGTGTGATGAGCCCAGGATTGAGACTGGATGTGCTGGTGTGTGTCTGTCATCCCAGCACTTGGGAGGCTGTAAACAGGAGAATCACGAGTCCAATCTAGTAGTGAGACCCTGAACACCCTGTAGACCCTTCCTTAAAATACAGGGAATAAAAATAAAATAAAATAAAATAAAATTCCTCCCGAGTAGCATTGGCTCTGCACACTTTCTGTGGTGTGCGTTCATTTTACCATAGGAGGATAGCCTTTACTTTCTGTCTAGGGTATCTGTGTCTAAACACTCCAGGAGTTAAATCAGCTGATCAAGCCTATAAGGGAAAACAAAGAAACAGCCTCTCCCAAGCATCAAGGCCTCACTTTTAGGGGTGATTTTCACCTTTGGATCCCCTCATTGGATCTTACCATGTTGCCATTGGAATCTAGAATCAAATAGGCCACATATTTTCCCTTTTTTTTTTCTGTACCAGGGAATGAACTCTGGACCTTGTGCTTGCCAGGCAGGTGCCTTATGCCTCTGAGCTATTATCCCTGATCCCCCCACCCCTTTTTGAGACAGGGTCTCCCTGTGTAGCCCAGGCTGGTCTGAATTCACTATGTAGCCCAGCCTGGCCTCCAACTTGTGGTGATCCTCCTGCCTCACCTCTACTATTAAAGGAACCGGAAACTTGGATTTTTATTTTTCAATCTTTTAAACATTGTCCAAGTCAGCTCCAGCCCACGGGCCAGTGGTTTGCAGCCTCTGACCTAACTGGCCCATAGCAGGAATCTGCTTACACCGTGGTCTTATTGGATGGTTCTGTGAGAACTGGTTGGAGAGCCACGCGTTGCTATAGAAACATTTTGGGGCTGTGCCTGCCCTGGGGAGTAGAGGTTCTGATCACTATCCCAGCCCCGCTCTTTTATGTTCAGAGAACAGTTTTAGGACTAATGAAGTGGAATTGCCGCGTCCGGCCCTTTCCTACTATAGGGCGCATGTGAGTAGCCATGGTCAGGGAAGCTGTGCCTCGGTGCTTTTCACAGATGCGTATGCGCGGTGAAGGACTTCTGGAGCTGGGCGTGGGCGTGCGCCGTGCGCAAGAGGCGAGCTTTTCTTTCGGCTGGGTGTTCCGTGCCCTCCCCTGCGCCCTCCCGACTTCACGCCCACAACGGCATCTGCCGGGCTCTGTTCCCTTCGACGACGCAGCCACAGAAGATCTGGAAAGGCATTGCGCAGAAGTCCGAGGGGCTCTGATCTTGCCGCCCTCCTGGCCTGAAAGTTACTGGGAATCTGTCCAGTAGGTGTCTCTAAAATCCCATCAGTCAGGGGAAAAGGAAAAAAGACTTTTTAAAAGGCCACTTAGTTATCGCAACTTAGTCAGAAAAAGTGATGCAGCAAACAGGACATGGGACTCCTCGAAGCAGGTTAAATTCTGCTCTTCAAATTAAGAGACTGAACTGTAGGACCGGGGAGATAGCTCAGGAGAATAAGCGTTTGCCTGGCAAGCATAAGGGCCTGAGTGCAATCCCCAGTTCCAGGGGAAAAAAAAAAAAAAAAAAAAAAAAGATTTAAATTTTTTTTTTTTTTTTTGCTTTCTCTTATGGATGTAATTTCTTATTCTTTGATGTAATTTAGATAATAGATTTACCCAGAGCGTGGACTTTGCATAGCCATGGGTTTCTCTAAATTGAACTCATGACTTACACAGCAAACCACCAAAACAATAAAAGCTGAGAGTCCTGGCCAACGTCTTCTCAAGGTGAAGTTTAGAAACTTCATTCTAAAATACCCTACAGAAAACTTTTAAAGCTGTTTTTCTCTATGTGTAAGATAAGTCAGGCAACCTATATTTTCATTATACTGGCATAGGGCTTTATGTTTGCATTTGGAAATGGAATTGCTTTAGAGAATATTCATGATTATGAAATTATATCCGCATGCCTTTGTTCTAATGTTTCTGACTGTTAAAGCAAATGCAAAATTTGCTTTATTTTCAGTTATATGAAATAAACCTCAATGTGTGCTAAAATTTTTTACACTGATTTTTTTAACTTGATAATGAAAGTTAAAAGGATATCTTATAATTCTCTTACAAAAGTTATCTCTGTGATTGGCCTAACTCAACCTATCAAGAAAACAAAAACTATCTCACATGCTAAATTCACTATTTCAAGAGTAATCCAAAGACACACAAAATAAATGGTCTAACATGGGCCATTGGAACTTAGCATATTGTCATTATCCTGAGCTTTTTTTTTTTTTTTTTTAATATGTTTAGTACAGAGTCTACAGGGTCTGCAGGGTCTCATTACGGAGATCAGACTCCAGTGATTCTCCTGTTTTCAGCCTTCCAAGCACTGGGATTACAGGCGCGGGCCACCACGCCCAGTCTCAATCCCTGTCTCAGTGTGCCCTGGTGGTGGGGCTGGCATGGCACACCAGGGATCAAACCCAGCTGCTGTGTCTAAGCAGGCGCTTTAATCTACTGAGCTATTTGGCCAGCCCTTTGATTTGGTTTTTGAGACAGGATCTTGCCATATAGTCCAGGCTGGCCTCAAACTCACTGTGTAGCCCAGGTTGACTTCAAACTTGTGGTGATCCGCCTGCCTCAGCTTCCTGAGTGCTGGGATTACAGGTCTGTGCCACTGCACCTGACATACTTTTACTTTTTTTTTTCTTTTTTCTTTTTTTTGCTGAACCAGGGATTGAACTCAGGCTCTTTTGTTTGCCAGGCAAGCGCTTATTCCACTGAGCCATCTCCCCGGCCCCCCCGACGTACTTTTAAAAAAATATTTTATTTATTCTTTTTTAAAAAATGTATTAAGGTCTATTTAGTTTTTGAGACAGGGTGTTGCTATGCAGTTTGGGCTGGCCTTGAGCTCACAGTAATTCTCCTGCATCAGCCTCTCAAGTGCTGGGATTACAAGTGTGCACCACTACATCCAGCTGGAAAACCTTAATGTTCCAGATTGAATACATTAATTCACACTATAATTTACTTTGCACTTTACAAACTTTATTAAATAATGGGTACTACCAACATTCATTACCTTCTATATAGGATTTAAACTATACTTTCTAGGTGCGTTTTCCTACAAAGAATAGAGTATGTGAAAAAATTTTCATACTTTCATACAGGAACTCAGTGAAAACTTGCAAATACATACAGCTTTCACTCTCCATTATATACATCCCCACGCCTGGCCCCAAGAAATTCATTTAAACAAAAGCTCTTAAATGATAGCTCAGGATACAGACAAATATGACTATATACACCCACACAGCTTTCAAAATCTGCTTTCTGGCCCGCAGAAGTGGTCCACAAAACTGCATACCGGTCCTGAAAGCTGAAGGACCAGAGACTGTGTATAGACAACATCCGCCTTTGTGCGTGGCTGCGTCCCTTCAGGTGACGACAACACAAGGAGACACCAGGGCAAAGAACTAGTACTTTCTGAGACTCAGATGCAACAGTAATGTGGGGTAGAATTTGGGATTCACAGACCAAAAATGAAAAATGGAGACTGTGTTCCTGGACAGGAGTCAGGGAAACTTGGTTTAAACAAGCAATGCAAATGCGCTCCCATACACCTCTAGCAAGCCTCAGCACATACTTTCTCGTGGCGCTGTCCTTTTTGTTACTGCTTAATATTGAAAGCTCATACCACACCTAATTAAGAGCAGTAAAGGACGGTATTTTGCAGAACCATCCCATTTCATGTGGACTTATTTTTCATGTACTGGGGACGGATCCCAGGACTCCATGCATGGCAGACAGGGTCTCTACCACTGAGCTGCATCTTCAGCCTGTGGCTATGCGGAGAGAGACTGGCTTGAAGAACAAGAAATTTGCATTGTTTTGTTATTTAAAATGAAAGAAAACTACCTTAGGTACCTATTTATAAAAAATATAGTCACATTTTATGCTTTACAGGCATGAAAAGGGCACAGGGCTTAAAAAGAGGGAAAAGATTACAGTAAGATGCCACAGATTTGATGTTATTGCTTACCTTTCAGGGAAAATCCTCGGCCCTTTCTCTACATGAATAATCATAGTTTTAAAAATGGAAACTTATTAAGTTAGAATAAAGAGAAAAGAAAGTAAGATGGAAACAAGAAAGGAACGGCCACAGAATATACAGCTGCTTAAAAATAAGAATACAAAGGGCACTGTGGGAAAATATTCTTGGGGTTCTAAGGGAGGGTTTTTATTCAGTGTCTTCCTTTTGGTCTTGTTTCTTTCCATGAGGAGCTAGGATAATGTATAACATCACAAAGAAATGCTTTATAAAGACTGTAACATATTATTTGTCAGAACCTAGTAAACAAAACTTCTTTGATATGTCTCAAAACAACGAAAAAAGCCCACATATTATGTATTATTTAGAAAATAAATTTTTTCCTCCTTCCTCTGGCAATTCCCGAGGGCTGGGAGCTAGAAGGTTCTTTGGCAGAGTCCAGAACTCATGAAAGTACGAGTGAAACACTGCTCTGGAAAGAGGAACTTGAATGTGTTTGCCTTTCAGTAGCTTCTGGTTTTGTGTTTGTTAGAAATGGCCATACACCGTGGTGTGGTGAGGCGTCTTTGGTTGTTTCTCCCCCTCTTTCAGTTGTATTATGAACGATAATCAGGTTGTCACCAGAAGGCAGTCTGTCTTTTCTAGTAGGTAAGTCAAGTTTACATTTTATTAAACTTGGTTTTCTTTAAGCCATGAAGGAAACAGTTCATTTCACCCCACAGGTCATATAAACAACATGATAAGCAGCACATAATCCAGGCCTTGTCCAAAAATACAGGTAAAATTTTTGCTTATTGCAAGTTGGTCCTGCTACATTTTAATTTTCTAAGTCACACGCTTTCTACATCAAAAAGAAATGATATAGAAATACCAGTGAAGAAATCTGAAAACAGGCACCAAGACTACATTCCAATCACAGATCTCTGGCATAAATTATTCCAGGGCCTTATCATAAATGTCACAAAAATATCAGATATATGCATAATTCCTTAAGCAGCTTTAGTTTTCTTTCCTTTTAAATTATGTGAAGAAGGTCTCCTTGCTGTTTCTGAACTTGTAGATAAAGCTACTTGGGGCGCTTCTGGGCAATAGAGGATTATTGCATTTCTTAAAGTATGGACACTATTGTCAGGATATGGAAAAAAATCATAGTGATGTTAAGAAACAAGCCTAAGAAATTTCAAGTAAGATTGGGTTACATGAAACATGAAAACAATTGACATAAAAAAAGATGCTTGGATGCTGACATTTGCTATGATCCTGACTGTCTGATCAACTGGTTCAAAAAGTTGTGCTTCAAAACAAAGTATACTTTACACCTCCTGTCATTACAAAATTGTTTTAACCTGGTACAAATAAAACACCTCCTCAGTACAGTATCTGTAACCTATGGGCACAAGAAGTCGTTAATTTAGGCCAGCTGCTGTTCAGAACTTTAGGCAAAGCTGCTTGAACTGAGACACTGAAACTTTTCCCTTAGAGACTGGACAATGTTTTGTTGGCTGGGTGGTGGTCCCCGCCAGAGATAGTCATTCAGTTTGTCAGAATCATTATAAGTTGCTAGATACGGTGAAAGTCCAAGTTTGCTGCCTCTTGGCTCTTTTGGAGCACATGGAGTATTCAAAGCATAAGATGTGTGGCTGCCGCAGAGGTTATCGGCACAGTCATTGTCCACCATCCTGGAGTCAGATTTCCTTCTGTGACCCTGAGGCAGCTCCAACTCTGCCTCCTCTTCCTCTGACTTGATTTCCACATAGTCATCTTCATCTCCTTCAGTTTCTTTGAAGTTGGAAAAATAGTTCTGTTTTGCTATTTGGGCATTTAAATTTCTATTTACTACCAGAACTTTCTGGGAGTCTTGGAGTGTGAGATCGGAGCCCTTTTCAGAGCCTGGGAGAGCTGTGTCAGTAATACCCGGCAGCAAATCCTGGTGGCTTCCACTCCTGGAACCCAGGTGTAAAGGGGACAGCTGCAGCTTGCCCAGCTCACTGGGGTAGGTGATGGAGTCCAGTGATTTGTTGATCAAGACGGAGGTGGAGGACTGGGACCTGTTATAGGACTGAGCTTTAGCACTTGCGCCTTTGCGACCCAGGGAGTTGTAAAGGTGGCCCTGCCAGGAGTTCTCTTTGTGGGGCTGACTGACCACTACGCTGCACCTCTGCACCACTGAGCCTGGCAGGGGGTCACATACTTGCAGAGAAGGCACCGAGCAAGCAGCAGACAAGTGTCTAGGAGGGCTTTTAGTACTTGTTTCTAAAGTGGGATACCTTGACCTCAAGTCTTGCTCTGGTGGGGGACAGAAGTCTGCCAACTCTCCGTTACTGTAGGTCGAATGCCAAAGCCAGTTCTCACTGGCGTGGTGGGCCTGGGAAGGTGAGGCAGGCCGGAGGAGGGAGGGGTCCTGTGTGCTGGCCCAGCCGTCCTTCTGAATTTTAGGGGGTGTCTCCCTGAACACAATCTGGTCATACAGTTGGGAGTACTCAGCAATCCTGGCACCTGGAAGGCAAACATTGACACGATCAGTACACACAGAATTATTCCTACATGTGAAGATAAAATACAGAACATAGCATTTTAATCACTTTTGCTGTTGTTGTTGTTGTTGTTGTTGTTGTTGTTGATACAGGGTCTCACTACTTTGCCCAAACTCATGGTGATTCTCCTGCCTTGGCTATCCAGTGCTGGGACTATAGGCATGCACCTCCGCATGGAATCTAATCAATATACTAAACAAAAGAAAAAAATGAACCCCAAAACAAAACACCTTAAACAGTGGATAGGATTTTAATTAAAGTGAAGTTGGAGAATGAATAATTTTTGAACACAAACTAATAAAATAACCCACAGTTCGTTACAAGTAGAAACACTAAAAATTTATTTAATTGAATTCTGCAGGATTTTATTTCAACAGCAGGTCTGATGTTATAATGTCCACTGATCATAATGAAAATTTCTAGTGCTACTTTCAAGCATGAATCAGTGTCAGTGCTGAAAACAGGCATCCTAAAATGCGGGACTGCCAGCACTTAAACCAAATCAGGAAAATATAATTTTGCTGAGCATATAGCACCATGTTAGAATGCTTGCATAGCAAACCCAAGGGTGTGGTTTTAATCCCCAATACTAGAAGAATCAAGTAAATGAGTAAACAAAAATAGACACCACCAATGAAAATGAAAATAATTCCGATTGTCATTTAAAGACGTATGACCACAACACACAATGCAACAGCTAGCCCTGGCTTCTCTCCACTCCTGTTTGCGCTTACCTGCTTCTAGAGGGTTCTGTTCCTGTACTTCTGGTCTCTAGACAACTCTCCACTGCCACCACCTGGGGAGCCAATGTCAAGAGTGGCCCTCTCCTCTAGAACCATACGGACTAAGTCACTTCTTGGACTAATGCACCTTTCCTTTTCTACGGCAAAGAAGAGGTGACGGCACTAAAGCCCAGGCCTACAAACCATTAAGGAGCCAGTTGTGCACATATGCAACAATCAAACATTCTCTATCTACTGGCAATACCTGCTCAGGAGTAGGACTTCCTATTCTGTCATAAAGCTTCGGCCACTTAACCTGTAACACCCTTCTTCCTTTTGCTGTACTTCTGAGCACAGCCATTTCTAAAGATATAAACTGGACCATGATATGGACAGAGCATTCTCTTGGGACAGTAATGATTTAAGAGAGGAGCTCAGATGTCAATTTCAAGAGCTGTTTCCCTGCCTGGACTGGGCCTCCGCATGACTACCACAGAATCAAAGAACTCCATTTTTTTGTTTAGTTTTGTCAGCGATGGGTATTCCATGCCATTTAAATATTGTAGGTGTGTGAATTCAACAAAATAATTCAATATAGTCCAGCAGTCCATAATAGTAGTGGGTTATCCGTAGGACTGGCAATGTCAGAAGTTGTTGACTTTGAGCCCTTTACAGCTCCACATATTAATATGGGTTTACTTTTCATATCTCATTATTGCACTTTTCTGGGATGGGATACAAATGAAGGACCATTTTGCATCTGTATATACAAAGTAGGATAGATATACAGCTACTTTCTCTTCATTCAATGAGAAGAAAGATTTGTACTAATAGTATTTGGACAGGGTATCATGTCTGCATCTTGTACTGTGAATAACTACTACATAGACAATACATACGTACACAATGTGTTAATTATTGAAAATGTCCTATTCATTGGTTTTGAAACTGTTTCATTGCTATTTGTTTTTCAATAAAACTAATTAAAAAAAAAGAATCAAAGAACTCCATGCAGTGTTGAAGTTGCTGAGATCACATCTGTATTGTCCCTGTGAAAGAAATCTATTCCATCGGTGATAACTAGCGAATGACATTATATTTCTTCTTCTTCAAACTATTTATATTGTCAGTAACTGTTATTAGTAAATGACCCTTCCAGCTAAGTACTCGCTTACTTAGTTTTGGCCATTTCTTTCCCACTGGCAGTGTCTGAGTCTGTCTTCTTTGATGACAGAGACAACTAGCTGTTACTGTGTGCCTTTCAACTGCAATTTCTTTGTTCCATCACCCTTTGTTCCCCACAATTAAAGTAAACATCTGGCATTCTCATTATAGACCCTATATTCAGATCCTTTGGGTTTTCAACTCCAAATTCCTTGCGAGGAGAGAGAATATTACTTTAGAAGTTTCTCATAACCTAATGTGGGAAATCCTTCAAACTGGAGAGCAAAAACTCTTAATACCAACTAAGACTGACCACCACCTGAAGCAAGAGCTTATGAAAGGCCCTCTGGACACCAGTGTGTCTGCGCTTACTATCCTAAAGCTTGGAATGCTTCGTTAACTGTGAGACCCAGCCAAAGGCAGCTGGACCTTTAGACAAAGTCAGACGCACACTGCACACTGTCGTTCTCCTGTACCTAGACACACTGACCCCATGGGAGACCAGAGATTCCAAGAAGATGATGGTTGGGGGAAAGCAAAACTAATTCAAAATTCAAACAATCCTAGTAACAAAATGCAATACAAATTCAGTATGTACTCTGGATTTTAGCCTAGCTAATCTGAAAGATGTCCCCAGTATTCACAGTATTTCTCAATGTCTTTGTCCTCTTTCTCATACTTTTCACTTCCTTTGGTTAATCAGGTCCTGCCCATGTCTCAAGAGTCTCATCTTCCTTGGATCCTTTGCTAACTGATTTCTCTCCTCTGAAGTCTTACATATATGTATAATTCACGTGTTTGCATGCACACAACATTGTGTTGCCCTTCCTTTTTTATAGGCTAGTTTATTCCAGCCAGTCTATAAGCTTTTGATCTTGGAGAAAAATGTTACATATTTTGTCCAGCCCACTACAGAGCACAATCCTAGTTCTAGACAGAAATTGGACTCTGTAACTACTTCATTATCCCAATAATAGCTTTTACCCTTTCATTTTATTGTAAGTGTAGGGTTAAAAACGGATGGGCTTTTCCTGAGACCAGGCTACTGGATGTGGAAAAACAGTCTGGCAATCAGGCCATCGGAGTTAAAGGCAACACAGGAAGCCTGCTTTGGATTAAAATAGGCAGTTTACAATGGGTGTAATTTATCTTTAACAATAAGGAGTTGACCATTTATTACTTATGAATAAAATATATTTCTCTGGTAAAAATAAGCTGTGCTTATCTAAGCATGTTTTTTGTTTTGACCACCTAACAGAGCCAGTAACTTGTATGCTGAGATACTAGATCCCCTGAGGCAAACGCACAGGGATGTCAGCCTGAGATGTGTTCTCTCGCCTGACAGCCTTGATACCAGCCAGCTGGCTCGGGGTTCCCTGCCTCCGTCTTTACAGCGCACATACATTATCACTACATGATAATCTCACTGCTGTCTCTGTTTTATCTTCCTTTACAAAGGTTTGAAAATTGGAGTTCTTAGGATTCCAGATAAAATACGAAGGCAACTCTGCCAAGGGAAATATCAAATGTGCTATTTCTAAGACAGAAGATTAAAATCAATGTTTCTGATGTTCCCTGAGATATAGTCAACAGCATAAAACATGCCTTCCCTATTTTACTCAAGGAAAATTTCTTAAGCCTGTACAGTTTTCCACCATATGAAATATCATCCAAAAGCCAGGAACCCAAAGATCTCTGCTTAAAGTGAAAAACTACCAGGAGCGAGGTCCGACTGAACAAGGTAGCTGGCATGCTATGATAGGCTCTAGGATACAGGAGCAACTGGACCTGGTTGGGTGATCTATAGTCGGAAATCTGACCGGGGGCCTGTAGACCCCTGGGAGAGAGTTCAATAAAGATGCTCGAGAGTTTCAGCAGGTGAATAGGGCGCTCCTCCTTCCGCACAACACCGAGAGCAAGCTCCTGGCAAAGTGGCAAGGCCCATACGCAGAAGTCTGGAGAATCGGTCCATTCGATTATGACGTCCTGTGCCCAGATAAACAAGAAAGAGAAAAGGAGTCATCACGTCAACTGATGGAAAGCCTGGTGGGCACAGGAAGTGGTCTCGATCACCCTGGCGGAGGAGACATGGATCTGAGTCAGGTCCAATAGATGGCAGGCCCCGGGGATGTGCTCCTGCTACATGGCCGGGAAAGACAGCACTGTTGGGAGGGATCGTCTCCTTCTGGGGGAGGACACAAGAAGGATCCCACTGTGTCAAGAAAGGACCCAGGCGCCAAGTAGAGAAATGATTCCACGGGATCCCAAGAAGATGCCAGGAGGCAAGACAAAAAGGAGAATCAAAAATTAAAAGAAGCTAAAGAACCTTAATCTGAAATAAATTAACACTTAGGTGAAAACTATTTAAGGTAACTGTCCATCTTGAAAGGGCTTGCTTCAATCAAGATTAAGTGTTCTGCATCTTCATGGGTGTCATGTAGTCCAACCAACCTGCCCAAGCCTCTTCCACCATTTAGACAGTAGTGTGCTGGCCTAGTCTGTCATCAGCAGAAATCTTAGTATTTTATTGTCGTCTCTGATTCTAGAAAGCCCCAGCCCAGACTCAGCCAGTAGCTGCAACTGCCAATGTGTGACCATTTCTCAGGCCATCTATGCTGCCCCCAAACAGTCCTCCAGCAGTGGAGCATGTTTACTTTCTCTAAGTACTGTGTAACAACAAACCAAGCTAGATTGCAAAAGGGACATAAGTTACTCTTAGCAGTATTATAAGGAGAAAAATTATGCAATAGAGTCTGCCATACTCATACAAAAACCATTGCTAAAGTTTTTTTTGTTAAAGATAAGAAGACTTTTAAAGAGTCTATAAACCCCTTTGGACATCAGTTAGGGGCTTTTACCTCCCTGACAGGAAATTTTTAAATAATTCCAAAGTTAAAAAAAAAAAATCCCTACAGACTCTCCCTGTGATTCACTTAGGGATCTGATAGCTCCTGCTCATGCTTTGCTTTCCATATAGGTAAATAAGACGATTCTAAAGAAAGGAGGCGTCAGCAACACAGCCGAATCAGTAGTGTCAACACCTCCAGATGTGTTCTGTGCCTATGAAGCTGATCAGCCAGACCTACTGATACAAAGCCAATAGCTTTTTACTTTTAGTTGGAGAATGAACTCCTCTCTTCCTAATGAGATGGTCCATTGTCAGAAAATCTAGGGCAGGATTTTTAAAGTATGAGGGAAAGGCCACATTGTTTAAAATGCAGATTCCTGGGCCTTACTTTAAAAATCTCTCTGGGTCTGGAGGTGGGAAGCTCCTCAGCTCTTTCAGGAAAATGAAAGAGCTGCTCTGTTCTCTTCACACCTAGTCCCTTCCCCTGAGGTCAGAGAGCTCCATCCTTTGAGAGAGTCTAGCTCAAAACTTCTTATTCCTAGACCCTGATCTTCCCAACATCAAGCCTAGGATCCTAGGATCCCATGACTTAGTTACTAAGAAGAGGTCTGCATCAAGAATTAAGATTCTTGGAAGCATAAATGGGGTACCAAAGGAAACACTGTTAACACATGACTAGCTATTTAAAAAATCATGTAGCAGCCAAAATATGTGAGAAAAGCACTGACTCATGTGGACAACTAAGAAAAGTGTTAAAATGATTTTTTTTTTTTTTTGGTCTTTGTTTGCAGGAGGAGGCACTTTAGTGAGGCTCTGGAACCAAAGAGCGATTCCATTCTGTCTGCTTCCAAGCCTGGAAAGGTTCTGTGAATCCTTCCTCTTCCTAATACATTGCTGATACATAGAGCAAAGCTCAGCGGATCACAAGTTAAAACTGATGGCTTTTCTTCCCCTCACACTTTAGATTCTATTACAACTTTAAAAAAATATATCCCCTACATAGTGACAGTGACACACACACACACACACACACACACACACACACACACGCACGCACATCCATAATCCTCTGGAGCATATCATGCTATAGCCATGCAATGCAGTGAGGTGGGCAAAGCCACCCGTGGTCTTTGAGATGTGAGCACTTGAATGACTGTTCTCATAGCTGCACCTACTTCAAGGACTCTGGGAATCGGACACCTGGTGTCCCACCTTACAGTCAAGAAGGACAAAAACGGTGTGAACATACCAATGGCGGGGCCGCCTTGCCTCTTCTCCTCTAGGATAGCTGCCAGGTCCTTGGGTGCAGGTTTCTGATGCTGACTGGTTGGCTGAGGCTCCAGCTCTGAGGTCCTCACTTTCAAAAGTTGATTTGCCTTCTTGATCTTCTGGCTGTACTGCCTTGCCATCATGAAGACCCGGCTTTTGGTCTTATCTGTGCCATCCAGGCCAGGGTCGGGGCTCTCCGGGTCTGTCTGGGACAGAGTACTGCTGACCAGATCATACGGGCTGTCCACAGCAGGGCTCTCACTGGCCATGGAGAACCGGCTGAGACTCAGAAAGGAGCCTTCTGTGGAAATCAGGTCTTCCTCTGGTGGGCAGCTGGTGCGGCCAGGCCGGACCACCCTGCTTTTCACTGGTGTGAGGAAAGCCTGGCTCTCGGGAAGGGAGAGTGTGGATGTGGTGCGCCCTGCGTCCCGGCTCAGCTCAGGGGTGCTCTCCGCGTGCAGCCTGCCCGGCACGTCGTCTTTGCTCACGGGAAACGCTGCCAGGAGACGGTCCCTAGCTTTATCCTCATTTTTCTTAATGTAATTTTCTAGGTCATTCCAGATTTCATCTACTTCCTCAGACAGTTTATCAGACAGGGTCTTATCGGCTAAAGACACGTTACAGCTGGAAGAGTTATACAGCAAGCTCAAATAGTCACTGTCCTGAGGCCCCTGGGGGTAAGGCCCATCATCCTCACTCAGCTGAAGGCTGTCCTGGGACACAAAGGGCCTTAGGCTGTCGCAACATGTGAAGTCTGCCTCGAGACCCAAGAAGGTGCTCCTTTTGGACCGCGTTAGGCTGCTGCCCTTGAAGTCCAGTGATGGTGGCTCTGGGAGCCGGATAGTGTCATAGACGTTCTCTTCCTCCACCTGCAGCTCCTGCACACTTTGATTAGCTGCCTCCTGGCTGCTGAGCGCACCGTCTCTCCTTGTGTGGAGAGGGCTTGGGCTGTGGCCAGCTTGCCTCTGTGAGAAGGCGAGCTCTGGGGTGCTCTTAGGGCGAGCTGAATCCCGGGCTGATTTGAGGGGAGTAGAGGGAGGTTCTTCCCGCTTAGCAACCATTAGCTTCAAGTCCTCATAACTTATGTTATCATAGACATGGTCTATATCATCAATCGTCAGCTCTACTGCTGACCCGAAAGGATTCGTCCCTTCCTGCCCTTCCGTGTGAGGCCTATTCTGCAGATCCCTTTGGGGGTTGTACTGAGAGCCATTGCTATCCTTAATCCTTATCTCAGGAGGGCACGTGTTGCTCTCCCCAGCGCTGCTGGCCCGCCGGACAACCCTGTGGCCAGCTCCTGAGGTCTCTGTGGACTCAATCTGCCCCATATGCCAGCTGCAAGGACGACTCGAAGTGCTGCTCTCTTCGCACAGCCTGACCGAGTTCAAATCCGAGGAGGAGAAGGAAGGCACAAACATCTGGTAGTCATCTTCATCATCCTCATTCTCCTGCGGGCAGCGGCGGCTGGGGAACAGGGCCTGCCTGATCTGGTGATCGGTCCAGATGTTCCGGATGGTGCCACCTCCCCGAAGTACACTGAGAATAGCAGAGGCACTGGGCTGACTGTTCCTCTGGGCAGGAGAAGGCCCCATGGAAGTCGGCTGGGCAGAACCTTCCTCTCTAGAAACCTGAGTTAAGACAGAAACACGCCAGTGAGGTACAGCACCACAGAGAAGCCATCTGGCTTGGGAATGTCTCCTGTACCTACGTGTGGCCTCAGTCACTACACTGCCATATTCTTAAAGAAAATGAGCAGTGGACAATGTTGCTTTTAATTGAGTTGAAAAGCATTTCAAATTGTCAGACAAGGGGCAGAAAGGACAAGAATTCATATTTATGTAGAAGCTTGGCTATGGGCAATTTGCAGATATCTTCCAAAGTTAATATTCACAATTACTCTGCAAATTAGATATTAGATGAATACAGAACCTGCCAAAACCTGTATGCATACTTCAGCAGCTCACTATACTAATAAATGTCTAGAAGCAAACAGGCACCACTCGGAGCACTTTTTGTAAATGCAGGAGCCAAAGGTAACTTGTATTAATCTCATGATGTCTCAATAAATATAGTATTAAAATATTTATACAAGTTTTTCCCCTGATTGTACCTATATTTTGGTGGACTCTGTACAGTAAGGGAATGTAGGTTCCTAAAGATTCAGTGACCTGCTTTCCCCATGTACTAGTAAGGCCAGCACTCTAATTCAGGTCTGACTCCATACCTCTTAGCAAATAAATACCGACAACGCTTAGATACTTTAAAGTGGTGGGCACTTGGCAAATATTGATTACATGAAAGAAGATACATAGGTGTGTATCTATGGGTGTCAAGGGCCCTGATGTTTAGTCTGTATTTGAGACTTTTTTTTTTTTAAATGATTGAGACCTTTTGAAGGTGTTTGACTCCCAGGAGTCTTACCATGGTCTCTGGTATGCCAATGTATAAGGCATGCTGGGCAACCCGATGACAACCCCAAGTGTTTCTTCCAGCCAGCCAACCACTCATGAGTCTGATCAACATCACCTCACTTTATAGATTCTAGGCACAGCCTTTGTTGTAGGATTGTAATTTAATGAAGTATTTTATTTTGGTACTGGGAATTGAACTCAGGACCTTGCCAGGCAAGTGTTTGTGCTTCTGAGCTATAGCCCCAGCTCAGGGTTGTAATTTAATCCATTGTTGGGCCCTGCTATTTTGCTTCCTTTCAAAATATATTTAGTTAAGTAGCATTTAATTGCCTGGTAGGGAGTAAAATATTTCTGCTGTTAATGGTTTCTAAGCAAAGTGTTATTTCTATTTCTATTTCTAAGCAATGCAGTATGATTTATTTATAACATAGAATCTTTTCTTGATGGAGTAGATTACTGTGATACTATTTTGTGTATAGAAAGATTAACTTCAACTGGGGATATAGCTCAGTGGCACAAGTGCCTGTTTGGCAAGTGCAAGGTCCTGAGTTTGATGTAGAGTACAAAAACCAACCAACCAAACAAACAAATAAAAAACTGGAAGCAGGGGCTGGAGAGATGGCTCAGTGGTCTAAAGCACCTACTTAGAACAAGCTTGGCAAGGCATCAGGGACCGCGGTTCAATCCCCCAGCACCACATGCCAGCCAGCCCCGCCCCCTGGTGGGCTGAGCTGGCGACAACCACACACTCTCTCTCTCTCTCTCTCTCTCTCTCAAATAAATAAATAAATAAATAAATAAATAAATAAAACTGGAAGCAAACAAGCTTAACTTCAAAGAATTGGAAGGACTGGATTAAGACTTGTTGATACTAATTTGTATCAGGGACATATTTTCTGATCAAAATGTTATGGTAGCCCACGGAAATATCAATTTAGCAAGAATTTTTTTTTATCACTTGTCAGTTTACCTACCAAAAAAGGAAAAAGGAGAGGGTTAAAGCAACATTTCACCCCAAGTGCTATTTTTCTAAATCCTAAAAAGGATTCATCATTTTATATTTTCCTCTATTTTTTTTACTCACATATCATATGCAATTCTTGTAAAAACTTATTGCCTTTATATATATTTCCTTCCATCTTTTTAAAAAAATGTATTAAGTATGGGGTCTTACTACACAGATTGGACTCATAATCGTCCTGTTTCAGTCTCTCAAACACTGGGATTACAGGCGTGCCCACCATACCTAGTCTCAATTGCCCTCTCTGAACACCCCAGGGATCAAATCCCAGTCTCTGCATGTGCCTAAGCAGGTGCTTTAATCCACTGAGCTATCTGGCCAGCCCTCCTTCATCTATTCCCTTTGCCTTACTCAGACAATGCTGGTGTAAAGCTTATAAAAATATTGGTATATGCTATATCAGTTAATCAATCTTCCTTTCTTTGATATAGGACCTTGCTATGTAGTTCAGACTCATAGTGATCCTCCTGTCTCAGCCTCCACAGTGCTGGGATTATAGGCATATACTACCATGCCTGGTTTTGGGGCTGGCAAAAATACCCTTGGAGCCAGCCGAGTATGGACTGAAACCTCCACAAACTGTGAGCTAAAGAAACCTTTCCTTCCTTCATTTTGGGTGTCGGGTATTTTGTCCCAGCCACAAGTGAAGAGTAACCGAGACAATTCTCCTAGCTCTGAGGGATGAAGAAGAGGAGGGAGGAAGTAGACAAGGTTGAGCCCTCCGTGAAATCAAATGTAAATTATAAAAATGTGAAACAAATATGAAATGTAAAGCATAAAACTGCCCAAATGCTAAGTCACTGTGCAGGCTCTAGTAAGATGTCCTTGTCTAGGGAGGGCGACAGAGGGCGCCCACAGCCAGCACGTGACCAGAAGCACAGCAACACCTACCTTTTGGATGTCTTGTGCTGTTTCTGAAAAGCAAGAGATATCTGTTGTAAGTTTGAGAACTAAAATGTACTTCTCATATAAACAAACAGTAATAATTTTATAGGATGGATAAATTTATTGCTGATAATTAAAACCAAGAGAAGTCTGGGCCCTGATCTGAGTCACAGGATCCCTGAGAACAAAGAGCCACTCTATGCTACAAAGTTTCATAAGCTTCCATACAAAAACATGTGGTACCTGAAAGAAAAAGGCTCACGGCAGCCATAGAAACCCCACAAGGACAAGAGAACGCTCCTATGGATTTTCAGAGGATGCGTTGGCTTTAGCTGTGTGGTAAGGCTTTCACCAACAGGGGCTCCGGAACCCGGGCTGAGGAGTATTGCTAGTGGAGTTGTGGGCTGATGCCTACAGACGCTATTACGTATATCCTGATTAGGTACTCCTGGCCTTTAAGAGCTGTCTAATGATGAAATACAACAAAGCACTTCTGTTCCCATGCATGCCTCTCCCTAGGGGTAACCACTGTTAGCAGTCTAATGTTGGTCTTCTGGCTCCCAAAAGCACCACACTCCTCCCTCTGATGAACAGCCATTGTTATATAAATAAGCCCCCCCCCCCCACTTGCTGTATTTTTGGCCAAATATTTACGGACACTCTTGTTAGCAGATAGAAATGTACTTCATTCTTTTTAAAGCTGCAGAATATTCCTTGATATGTATGGATGTACCTCAGTTTAACTGTCACTAGATTGGCATTTTAGGTCATGCTGTGGTACAAATGCTGTGGAGACCCTGCACACCCCCACAGCCCCATCCACATGTGGGAGGGCGAGTTCTCCTATGAAGGCCTAAAGGTGTCGTGTTGGGTCAAGGGCAAATTTAAGTAGGTCTCACTGAGTATTATTTCTGACAGGTTCACGAATGTTTTGTCCACAGTATCCTTTAGTGCTTGCTGTTCCGTGTCTTTGGCCAAGCTCATAGCTTTCCCCATCCGTGTATTCTATTTATTTATTTATATTTTGTGGCTGGCTCAGTCCAGCCTGAGGGTGGGGCTGGCACAGCATATGAAGTGCAGGGATTGAACCACAGTCCCTGCACTTTGCCTAAGTTTGCCTAA